TATGACAAGCTAGGAGAGACGAAAGAAGAGCAAAAAAGCGGCGAAAGGTGACGAGTGAGACTGAGGCCAACCAGAATTCTGGAGAACGCGGCGCAGACATGACGACGAGAGAAGCCCACGGAGATCCGCACGCGAAGGCCTCACGCCGAGGGACTCAGCCCACGACGCCGCCCGCGCCGGTGCCGTCGACTAAAGGAAGCCGAGGACCCACCGCGGCCGTGGCTGTAAGGCACAAGGATCGCCCATGTTGAAGAATAGCCCGCGCCCCTTCTCTGTGTGAGGGGTGGGACAGGTCAGCCCACGGGGACGAGAGTGGCGCCCTCCGTGTTCGCTTTTCAATTACAGAGGGTGGAGATCGCCGACGAATCCCCGCGGCGGCATCTCCATGGGCCCGCTCGATTTCTCGAGGTCCCATCTATTTTTGTCTTGTGCTTTTTCTTGCTTCAAATGCGGCTTATTCATTGCATTAACAACGTCGAAAGTGTAATGTTCCATAGGTTGAATTCGTATTGACAGGGAGGCTCGTAGTGTGTGTTTTTGTTACTGTTACCAATGTGTTTAGCTGCTTGTTTACTTGAAGTTAACACAAATGGACAGCGGAAGCAGTGAAGTCAAAACAACGGGACAAACAGGAAGACACTCAAGCTAACACAGATGTAAGCTAGTGTTTAGTCTCGTCGAAACAACGCGACACGGCTCACCTAGTTCAAGTTAACACAAGTTGGAAGCTGCGCCGTGTTTAGGCCAAGCAAAATACTAAGGAGGTGAGAATGTAGCCCAAGTTAACACACGCCAGGCCTCAGCTAAGCTGTGCTTTGCTTCTGGTGTCTAATTAGGTCAAAAACGTGGAGTCAAGCTAGTTTAGTGCAAGTTAACACAAATGAAGACGTTCAAAAGCAAACAGCAAAGACGTGGAAGGAAGTGCGACAATGGTGGATCATGATGGGCGTTAACTACCAAGAAAAGAGGACAACAACACGCCTTACGGGGGGTAGTTATCCGCCTAGGTGGGGCCAAGAGCCAATAGCCCGAGGCTTTGATGGAGTGACTTTGAGTTCATGAGTAGTAGTAAATGCAAGGAAGACACAAAATGGCTTACAATGAAGAAAACAGAGAAGAAAAGTAGCGAAGAATGTCGTGGAAATGCTGAATCAGTAGTGGTGTGCTCTGATTGGAAACGCATCTTTGGTAAGTGATTAAATGGATTAGATTTAGTTTCATCGATAGCAGAAGTAACTGGGAGCGTGAGCATCTTTAGCCTGCGCCATTCCCTTACGTAAAAGTCAGGCACTGACGTCACACCGAGTTAAACTTGTACAGATAGTTATGGGTTCGTGATGCTTTAGCATTTCAAGCAGTGAAAGCGAAGTGATGGAGTATTGCTGACGAATGTCAACGAAAGACCTTTCCGGTGCAGTAAGTTGCTGTCTGTCCTAAAGATGTGAAAGATGTGAGAGATGTCGTTGTTATTGTTATCCGAAAGATGTGGGAGGCCTCCTAAGTTAGCAGCTTCTTATGTTGTTTCCATTCAGATGCTTCCCTTACGGTGCCAAGAAATCAAAGGCAGCGGACTCCGTGGATACATTAACTGTAACAGCTAAGAAGTAAAGAGATGGGGTCTCACGTTAGTGTCGTCCGATGCTAGTGAAAGTGGCACGAGAACCCCCGCCGCCAGTGACAACGCAGACAAAACAACAAAACTAAGCCCACACGATCTGAGCAAGGTAATCCTCGACGGCCCCCCTCGCTGCTTCGCTCGTCCTTGGATCGGCGACACGACCGCGAAGGAAGTCCGCCTTCATTCGTAGGAAGTCTTGGCGCTCCGCCGTCTCCCGCATGTATGTGGACTTCGAGGTTCCTAGACGCGCCAAGGCCCAAGCCTCTGCCACTAGGAGCGTGTTGGGGTATCCTTCATCGTCATACTTTCGGATGAGCACGGTCTTCGACTTCATCTTGTTGCCGAGTACGCTGGGCACGGTGAGAAACTCGCGTAGAATGCAGACGCAGTTTGGGTAGCTAGGATTCTGAATTACGGAGTAGTAGTCTGTCGAAATCTTGACATGGCTACCCATCGGCTTCCGCGGTACTTTCTCGGGTGCCGCATGTTGCTGCTCAGCGAGGTCATCGCTGCCATTCAAAAGCGCGCCGTCTGGGTCTGCGTCTCCCGGTAATGTTAGAGGTAGAAGCAAGTAGAGGGAACGAAACAAGTGATATGGTAGAAGTAGAGGGACACAAATGATATGACGCGAGTACTAGGCGGCTGAGCCGTCAAGGGTAACTAAGATAGAGACGCAGCGCGAGCGCACGCCGTGAGAGTGGCGCGATCCCCTCATAAATCTGCGTCACTGTCTGACTCTGCCGCGTAATCCCCTCGCCCATCCTCTCGCGCCGCCTCGTGTGGGTCCTGACCATCAGCAAGAACCTGCTCCGCAAAGAAGTCGCCCAAGAGCTGCTCCGCAACCTCCTGCTCCTGTGCACCTGGCGGAGCGATCCCGAGGTCATCCCGGTCGACAGCTGTGATAGGTTCAACACCTGGGAGCGGCACTGGGTCAGCCTTGCGAATGACCACCCTCAAAACGTCCTCTACTACATTCCACTGCGCTCGCACCGTGATACGCCAGACCGCAACTTTCTGGAAGAGGTTCGCGTGCTTCTGCCGCTCCTCAAAGAGGAACGGTTCGAAAAGTAGGCCGTTTTCGTCAAGAGACAAGCTCCATTCTACGTCGGTGGACTTAGTGAGCTGCCACGCATGATAA